CGATAATATCCAGAAGTAATCCCTTTGTACAAAAAGAAGAAAAATTAAACTTATTTTAAGCTACAAAAGTGTTCCTATAACAAATAGTTTTAAATTCAGTATTGAAACAAAATAATAAAATGAAAAATTTATATTTATTTCTCTTCGTAAGAAATGTTTCTACAATTTAAAGAAGGCAAAAATGAAAAAACAGTAGTGTAACATTGCCAATTTGTAATCCACCAAGCAAAACAAATAATAAAATGAAGTAACAGAATTAACAGCTTCCCTTCCACTTTATTAATGTTGTAAATCGACTTCAAATTGCCATAACAAAAATCAACAGCTTCCAGAAAAGCTTGATATGGCTGCTTCTCTATTATATTGGTACTAGTTTTATTGAATTTGCTTCACAAATACGATCACGATTCAAATTTGATTACTACCACAAGCAGATTGTGCAGCGTGACAGTGATATTCGTATTAATGGGGTTTTAATGAAATATGGAAAGCTAAATCATTTTTTCTTCGTTGCATTTTTTGCAACAAAGTTAGTGTTGAAGAAAAACAAAGCTAAAATTTTGATTATTGTACGAATTCATTGTTATTCAGTACTACCTTACAAACATATCATGAGAGTGTTGTAGAGCCTAAAAGTTTCTTATTGTGCAATATACGTTGACTATAAAACTATAAACCACCGAAACTCACGTTGAAGCTGCAACATGCAACAATCCATCGCGCAAGAGTAGTGCCTCTAGAGAGGGTTCCCGCCCTCGGAATTCCACAAAAACCTGAATCACAATTCAGACAAAAATCCACAATTGAAATTAGTGTAAACTTCATAATGAGGAAGGCAATAGCATCAAGAAGTACAAACCTCTAGTGCTGCTTTTCGACCTCCAAGAGCAAGTATGGTCTCTCGGAATCTGCGTCCCATTTCTTTCAGTGCCTGTTTCAACCCATCAGTCATGGTCAAGATATTAAACGACCTTGATAATTAGGCCGGATACATTCGTGCATGTAACAATGCATAGAGATTATGGAAGTACATATAGCGATAATAACTTGCCTTAAAGTTGGGTTATATGAAGGTTAGGATTAAAAAGAATTTTGAAAATATCGTGTTTGGAGAAAATTCTATTGAACTGCTTCCCTTTCAAATAATTATAAGAAACTTAGAACCTAACTTCAGCACTGAATACGATCATTTTGATGTACCCAAAAAAGGGAAGAAAGCTGCAATGTTTTCTAACTGTACCTCGTCATCATCTAATCCAGCTTCCTCGAATGCTGAGAAAGCATCAGCAGACATAACCTCCGCCCACTGCACAATTTGGACACGAACTACCATTAGTGGACTTTCATCCTATGCTATATACTTTGTAATCTAAAATATGAATAGATCAGACAGTAACACTAAAGTCATTATCAAGCAAGCGCACCAAATAATTAAAAGAAAACAGCATCACCAGTCATCCCAAAAGGCTTGCTGACAATATCTATAAATAATAACCAAATACCTTGTAAATGTAGCATCCAGCAGCATATCCACCTGAAAATATATTCTTAAAATAGCAAAGGAACTTATCCTCTGGAAGTGGAGGAAGTACATGCATTCTTTTACAGACCTTTCTGTAAACATCATGGATCGACTCTGAACTACCAGGCACATACTTGGTGTGCAACTCAAGATCAACCATTGCTTTTTTAATCTGCAGTGTACAAGAGATGGAAACTAACAAAAATTTTGCGTGCCATCAAAAATATAAAGAATCCAGTTATTTAAAATGTGATACAGAGTGGCAGTATGAAAGTTTCTAATAGTGACATCTGACAGAAAAGAATGCATTAAGAAACACAACATAGGAGAAAAATATTAAAAGTATAATATGATAAGCTAACATGAGGACAAAAATAGTCAAATACTAACTAAAATCAACTTACTGAAATTCTTTTAACATTTTCCTAAATAACTGTCTGCTCTGCCATCAATTTCCTTGTCGAATATGAAGGGTATGTCAAGGTTTGCTTATACGTTTAGGAGGAAGAAAAAACTGTCTGACTAATTGCATAAGAATATATTCAGATAAAGTGTTGTTAATCATTGCCAGCAAAGATCAAGGTATTGGCTTCATTCAGATACTGGTTCCAACCCCACCCATCCCCCATCTTGCTCACAAAAAACCAAACATAACAAGAACAAGAACAACAATTGTTGGAATGGTCCAGGAGAAACAATCAGTTGCTTGTGTGAAAGTTCCTTGATACTAAGTTACTCTTCACTAGAAATGAAAGACAGATCCCCTTACAAACAAGATGCACCTACACCACTATTTATAAATCCAGAGCACGTGTTCTGATACCCTAGCCTTTACAAATTTAA